CAATCAGAAAAGAATGAATGAAGAGAGGCTAGGATAGGAGATATATTGATGTTTCTTTTTAATTTTCATCAGAAAATCACTGTTTGGGTTATTTATCTATTGATGCGTTTGGATTGGTTCACGTGTGAGAGCAAGGCCTGTTTTCATACAGTTGTTTAAAGACCCTCACCGTCGAGAAGTGGCAGAAAACCTGAAAAAGTAAAGCTGCAGCTGTGGATATTTATGCCTGAGGGGGAATAAAATCCAAATGAAATTTGGAGGTAATTTAAATCAAATCTCCTGCGCTGCTATTGTTTCCTTCCTTCTTCCATAACGTCAGACACATCCGTCCGCTCTTCTCCACAGCTCAGACTGCCTGGGCGAGGAACATGGAAGATGCAGCTTCTAGAAAGCAGCTTATATAAACATCAAGCTGGTTCTTTATGGAAATTAGAAGTCAGAGACGTGTTTCCATGGAGTTCATGAGTTTTAATGTATTTATTTATTTATTCATTCTTTGTTTGCTTTTTGAAAGAAAATAACTTGGTGATAGGGTTACTGAAATAAATCAATTTCTGCTAATGTTTCCTCACCAAGTATAACTTCTCACCTTTCTTAGATGAATTAGATTCAAATCCAGGAACAATATTTGGACAGTCTCTGCATTTTAACTGGGGCTTGCTGTCCTTTAGAAACCTTCTCATTCGTTTCAGCGACTGTAGCTTCGCTGTGTTTCACATCTTCCCCTCATGCTGATGCTTCTCTTCCTTGTGTTTCAGTTTCACAGGAAGATAATGACCTTTAGGTCAACATTCCTCCTGCAGCTTCTGATGCTGCGGCTTTACAAAATTAATCTTCCTCGACTTTAGGTCGTTGTAGATTTTTAGGGAAGGAATCCAAAGATTCTGTGTTATTAGTTTCACATCAATGAGGCACAGTGAGTTATATTCCCTACAATATATAGACTAGCTTAACTTAGATTATACTTCTTAATTCCCGGGTCTGCTCCTCTGTCTGCGCTGACAGAGACTGACTTGGTTCTGGAGCAGCTCCAACTGACGGCAGCCTGACCTTCTCTCTGATAAAAGCCACCACTAGGAGGCGCACATGGAAACATGGGACTTTAATGGCTGCTTTTCCATTTACCATCCACACTGCAAAAACGTTCTAGTAAGAAG